AATGGCTTTGTAAACATGTCAGCCAATTGATCTTCAGACTTGCAGTAAACTAAGTTTACTTCTCCACTTTGTTGCATCTCTCTCAAAAAATAGAGCTTGATGTTGAAATGTTTAGTCTTGCCGTGACATACTGGATTGTTTGCAATAGCAATTGCAGCCTGGTTGTCAACAAAAAATTATATTTTGTTCTTCTGCTGCAAAGATAAATCATATAAAATCTTCTTCAACCATAAAGCTTGATTTACAGCGGCTATTGCTGCTATAAATTCAGCCTCGGCGGTGGACTGTGCTACAATCTCTTTCTTCTTTGTGCACCATGAGAATACTCTTGAGCCTAGGCTGAAACAGTATCCTGAAGTGCTCTTCATATCATCAATAGATCTAGCCCAATCACTATCAGAGAATCCATACAACTTGAATTCTTGACACTTATCAAATTTGACTCCATAATCAATAGTGCCTTTAACATATCTCAATATTCTTTTTGCTACTTGCAAATGAATTTCACTTGGACAGTGCATAAAACGAGACAAGAGACTTACCGCAAATAGAATGTCCGGCCTTGTTGCAGTAAGATACATTAGACATCCAATCAAGCTTCTGTAATATCCTTCATCAATTTTTTCAGCACCATCATCCTTGCTAAACTTCTCCTTTTGATTCATTGGTGTGCTAACAGATTTACATTCCTCCATTTGAAATTTTTTCAAAATTTCCTTTGCATATTTTCTTTGACAAATTAACACTTCATTCTCACTTTGTTTGATCTCAATTCCAAGAAAATAGGTCATGAGACCAAGATCTGTCATTTCAAAAGCTTGCATCATTTCTTGCTTGAACTCATCAACTAGCCTTGCGTCATCTTCTGTCACTAAAAGATCATCCACATAGAGGGAAACTATGAGAAAATTATTTCCCTTATGTTTCACATAAAGTGTGGACTCGGATATGCTTTTTGCAAAGTCTATGCTCAATAAGTGATCATTAATTTTGCTGTACCAAGCCCTTGGCGCTTGTTTGAGGCCATAGAGAGCCTTTTTTAGAAGATAGACTTTATCTTCTTCACCTTGCTTCACGAATCCTTTTGGCTGGTCTACATATATTTCTTCATGTAGCTCTCCATTTAAAAAAGCTGATTTAACATCTAACTGAAATATTTTCCAGCCATTTTGCGCAACAACTGCTAACACCAATCTAATTGTATCTAATCTGGACACAGGAGCAAAAGTGTCAGAATAATCAACACCAAAAATTTGTGCATACCCTTTAACTACGAGTCTGGCCTTGTGCTTGTTGATTGAGCAATCTGCATTAAGCTTTGTTCTGAAAACCCATTTAACTCCAATGACTTTTCTATTTTCAGGCCTGTCAACCAGCTCCCATGTTTTGTTTTTCTGTATCATGGATATCTCCTCCTCCATTGCGATTTTCCATTTTTGGTCCTTTTGTGCTTCCTCGCAGCTAGCAGGTTCACAAACTGCTACATTACATCTTTGATAGATGTCAGATAACAGCCTTTTGCCTCTGACTGGAGGGTCGTCTTCTAATTCATCCTGCAATAACTCTGTTGTTTGCTGTCCCGGGTGCTTATCGTCAATGTTGCCAAATAGTTTAGTTGTTCTTTGTGAGTTCTCCCAATTCCATTGTTGTTCTTCATTAAAGTGCACATCTTTATTAACAGTCATCTTTCCGGTTTGAGGATGATACACTTTGTAGGCCTTTGAAACTGAACTGTAACCCACAAAGATGCCCGGAGTTGCCTTCTTGTCAAGTTTGTCACGCTTAACCTGTGGAACATGTGCAAAACAAACACAACCAAACACTTTAAGAAAGGTTAGTGACGGCTTATACCCATACCAAGCCTCAAATGGAGTTTTATCCATCAAAACTTTGGTTGGAAGCCGATTTTGGAGAAAGACCGTTGTGTTAGCCACCTCTGCCTAAAATGTTTTTGGCAACTCCTTCTCATGCAGCATGCATCTAGCCATCTCCATCACCGATCTATTTCTCCTTTCACTAACCCCATTCTGCTCTGGAGTGTAAGGGGCTGTGAGTTGATGCTCAATACCAGCTTCTTCACAAAATTGATTAAATTTTGTTGATGTATACTCTGTCCCGTTGTCAGATCTTAAACATTGAATCTTGCAGCCACTTTGAGTTTCCACCATTTTCTTGAACTTCGTAAATACTCCAGCCACTTCATGCTTAAATGTCAAAAAGAATATCCAGCACATTCTTGTAAAATCATCTAGAATGAAGTACAGACTACCTTGTAGTAATGGTGTTCTTTGGGGTCCTGCCACATCAGTGTGAACAAGCTTCAACTTTTGAGAGGCTCTCCAAGCTGATTTGGGGAATGATTTTCTTATTTGTTTACCAAATTGACAAGCATTACAATTTGGTAAATTATCAGAAAGTATTGACAGACCTCTTGACATTCCTTTTCTTTGCAAGTTCAACATTCTTTCAAGATGACAATGCCCAAGTCTCTTGTGCCAGAGTTCTGTGGGACTGACTTGAGTAAAATAGACTGCCTGCTCCTCCTCTGTTGGATCAAACGGGAAGCTTTTACCTCTCATTTTAACCCGTAAAACTTCCCGACCAGCAGTGTCGTAGATAAGACAATATTGATTTTCAAAGGATACTTTAAATCCCTTTTTAATCAATTGACATACACTTAACAAGTTTTGGTCGATGTCAGGTACATAAAGAACATCAGATATAATTTTGGTACCTGAACACGTTGAAATTGCAATGGTTCCTTTTCCTTTTGCAGTAATATAGCCACCATTCCCTATTCTGACCTTTGAAACATTAGTGGGCTTCAAGTCCTTGAATAGAGTCTTGTCATATGTCATGTGATTCGTACAACCACTATCAATCAACCAGCATTCAGAATTACTCCTCGTCGAATAGCATGTTGCAGCAAAAATATAATCTTCTTCATCTTGCTCAACAACTTGGGCATTAGCTTCAGGTTGCTGCTGAAATTTGCTCCTACAAATTACAGCTTCATGTCCAAGCTGATTGCATTTACTACACTTCGCATCTGGTCGTTTCCAACATTTGTATGGTGGGTGACCCAACTTTCCGCAATGCTGACAAGGTGGGTAGTTTTTCTTTTTACCCCTACCATTATTTTGGTTATTTGCACTATTTTCGCTGCTTGATGGTTGGTTCTTCTTGACATGCTTATTTCTACTGGTTTCTCCATAATGGTGCTTGGCTCGTAAAGCACCTTCGACTGCACCATCTTGTCTCATCAACCTTCGCTGCTCTTGGGACTGCATAGCACTTACAAGTTCTGCCAATGTGATCTTTGAAAGATCCTTAATATTTTCCAATGAAGTAATAGAAGCTTCAAATTTTTCAGGAGCAGTCACTAGTATTTTCTGAACTATTCGTGAATAAAAAAAAATCAGAACCTAACAACCTCACCTTGTTAGCAATGTTAAGAAGTCTGTTTGCATACTCCTTAATTGTTTCAGACTCCTTCATTTTCTGCATCTCAAATTCTCTAACCAGATTCATTGCTTGCATTCCCTTGATTCTTTCATCTCCTTCGTATTCTTCCTTGAGGAAATTCCAGATCTCAAATGTCGATTTGATCGTCATGATTCTGGTGAAAATGTCTTGTGAGACAGCAGCAAACAGAGTAGCTCTTGCTTTTGACTTTCTTGCTTTCTTCTCCTTGTGATTTTTTTATCTGAGCCATGGTTGGATTGTTCGGCAAAGGAAGAACTTCATAGTCTTCCTCAACGGCTTCCCAAAGGTCATTTGCTTCTAGGTGAGCCTCCATTCTTGCTGCCCATATGTGATAATTATCACCGTCAAACACAGGCGGTGCTAGTTTTGTGTAAGGAGTTTCAGAATCCATCTATTTGATGAATTTAAGCAAGGTTTATTATGGTGGATTTTTATTGGGTTCACTCACAGGTCCCTCTAAGAAGAAGGCTCTAGATACCAATTTGTTAGTTTAATGGCAGAAAATAACAAATATAGTGGCAGAGAAGTAGAGAAACAGTATATTAAAGGAAAGGAATTGTATTGATTTGATCGATAAAAATGTTACAATAAATAATGGAAAGGAAAAACTAAAAGTTATCCCACGTAACCAGGATTTTAGGGAATTGAATAATTAAACTAATTTGTTCATAAAGTATAGCAACTACTACTAGTTTGCTCCTAAATTATAGCAACCACTAATTGACTAGGTTGCTAAAAACTGAAACAATAAAATAAAATAGTAAAAAATCTAGCAGTTACAAAAGCACATGATTAATAGTGTGCCTAAAACCTAAGCTTGTTCCATATAAAATAAAAGTTTTTGTAAAAATTATTTTGTGTGTCTTAAACCTAAGCTTGCTCCATGTAAAATGAAAGTTTTTGTAAAATTTTATGTATGTCCCATAAGTTTCAGCACAAACAAAACAGAAGGTGCAGATATAAAATCTTGACCCGACCGACGAAAAGATGCTGACAAACACGCATGATTGCACCAATTTTGTCACCACTACTTACTACTATATATTGTCATTCTTTCACTCATATCAGAATCACAAAAGAACCCCTTCTAAATAACAATGAACACTTGTCTTAAGTTATTTTCTCCAAACCCTCCCATCAAGACTAACCAACTTTTCCTCCACTCATCCATACCTTCAATTTTCCCTCTCTTCAAAACCAATCTTCCACCTTCAAGAAAACACCAAGCCAAGAGCCACAATGCCAGAAAGTTTGAAAATTTCCTAGACTTGAAAATTTCGATGTAATTGTAATCGGTGCTGGCCCTGCAAGTATTCGCCTTGCAGAACAAGTTTCCCTTTATGGAATCAAAGTTTGCTGTGTTGATCCTGACCCTCTATCTGTTTGGCCTAATAACTATGGTGTGTGGTTGGATGAGTTTGAGGGTGTTGGACTAGAAGACTGTTTGGATAAGACATGGTCTGTGGCTTCTATTTATATTGATGATAACAACACCAAACATTTGAGTCGATGTTATGGAATGGGCAGGCAGGAGGAAACTTAAGGAGAAATTGGTTAAAGGTTGTGTTTTTGATGGGGTTAGATTTTGTAAGTCTAAGCTATGGGAGATTAAGCATCATGAGTTTGAGTCTATTATTGTTGGTGGAAATTCTGGTGTAGTTCATCCTTCCACCGGATACATGTTGGCTAGAACAATGGCTCTAGCACCTGTTGTAGCTGCTTCTATTTATGAGTGTCTTGGCTCCACAAGTATGATAAGAGGGAAAGATATTTATGCTGATGTTTGGAATAGCATGTGGCCTATTGAGAGCAGAGTTGGTAGAGAATTTTACACTTTTGGAATGGAGACTCTATTGAAGCTTGACTTGAATGAAACTAGGGATTTTTTGATGCATTAAAACCTTATTACTTGCAAGGGTGCCTCTCTTCAAGTTTGAGTTTAAATGATATTGTTTGGTTCAGTATGTCACTCTTTGCAAATGCCTCTAATCCATCAAAGTTGGTTGTTGTCAAAAAGTGTCCTGCTCGGCTAAAATGATGAGCAACATTTGTTTAGAATTCATAAGATGATTAAAGCTTGTGAAATTATGGGTTTGCTGGCTATTGATATTGTCACTAAATGTATTTTTGGGGTCTACTTAGCTATAAGTTGTGTTATTTGAATGAATAAAAACATCCTATGTGACTTTTAAAAATATGTTTATCTCTACCGCTTCTTGCTTTTTATTACAACTTATACGCATTTAAAAAAAAACACATATAAAAAACAACTAAACTGTTATTAACATCAAAATTTTGATGTCAAAACAACATTTCTCATTTCACTATGGAGACATTTCGATTGTTAGATCTTGTTCGTTTTTTTTTGTGTTATTAGCTCTTTTGCTTTTACTGCCACTTGTAGTTACGGTGGTTGCTTGTGTTCAGACACTATATACATCATCTTTGATACATCTTGTGTTGTTTCTTCTTATTTTCAGTATAAATACTCAAAAATAAATAAAAATAAAATGATATTTTTATAATTAAAAGGAAAAACAAGACAATGAGAATATCATATAATATGCATAAACAATGAATGTTTGTAACAAATTCAAGCCAACTGTAATATTTTTCAGCTACTAATTATGAAATTATGTATAATTCAACAGACAAATTTTTAAGTTCAACTCTTAAGGAAAAAACAAAATGAAATTGTATTCACAATCTTCCGTCATCCTATAGATTCTAAAATAATATTACCTGTCATTTTAGCCAAGGGAACAGGACACTTTGTGACAATATCAAACTTAGAAGAATTTGAGGCATTTCCAAAGAGTGATAAGCTTAACCAAGCAAAATCCTTTAAAGTCAACTTTGAAGACATAAACCCTTGCCAATAATAAGGTTTCAAGTCAAAGAATGCATCAAAAAAGCTTCTAGTCCCATTCAAATCAAGCTTCAACAAAGTCTCCATTCCAAAACAATAACATTCCCTAACAAATCTTCTCTCAATAGGCCACATACTATTCCAAACATTAGCATAAAGATGTTTCCCTCTTATCATTCTATTGGAACCAAGACACTCATTAATAGCAAAAGCTACAATAGGTGCTAGTGCCATTGTTCTAGCTATCATGTAACCGGTTGAAGGATGAACCACGCCGGAATTTCCACCAAATGCCATCACATTTTGAGGTATCCTTGGTAAAGGTCCTCCCATTGGAATCAAACACTTTTCATCTTCCAATACTCTTTTCACATTGATCCCCAAATGTCTTAACCTTGCAACCATTCTTCTCTTCACATCCATGTACGATAAAACCGGACGACTTACAAGTGAAGTTTCTTCAAGAAAAATCAAATTTGAACTAAATGGCATAGCATACATAAAAGTAGGAACTTTAGAATTACCCTCTCTCAAATAAGGTTCATTCCCCAAATGGGAATCTCTCCAATCCATCAAAACCATTTTATCCAAATCAAAAGGGTGATAATCAACTTCAACCAAAACACCATGAGCAATTTGACAACCATAGTTTCTCTTTCTCAACTTATGATCATCGCGATCTATAAACCTACTACTGAAACCACTAGCATCAACAACTAAACTCGCTTTCAACTCTTTCCCATTATCACAAACAACAATAGACTCAAACTCATGATGTTTAATCTCCCATACTTTACCTTTATAAAATCTAACCCCATTAGAAACACAGCCTTTAACCAATTTCTCCTTAAGTTTACTTCTACTAACTCTTCCATAGCAACGATCCAAATACTTAGTATTGTTATCATCAATATAAATAGAAGCCATAGGCCATGTTTTATCCAAACAATCTTCTAGCCCAAGACCCTCAAACTCATCCAACCACACACCATAGTTATTAGGCCAAACGGATAGAGGGTTAGGGTCAACACAACAAACCTTGATTCCGTAGAAAGAAACTTGCTCCGCAAGGCGAATCCCTGCCGGGCCAGCACCGATTATGATCACATCGAATTGAGAACGATCGGAAGAGTGATGCCACGGAAGGTCGAAATCGAAGTCTTCGGGTTGATACTCGGGTTTCAAGTCAAGGAAATTTCCAAACTTCCTAGTGCTACGGATCTTTGTATTAATTTTTCTTGAAGATGGAAGTGATATTGTTTGATGGGTTTTTGGGAGAGGGAATATTGAAGGTGTGAATTGTGGAGTTTTGGTTGGAGGTGGTGGAGAAATTAACATAAGACTAGTTCCCATGTTTTGCGGAATGATGTTTTTGTGTGATAGTGTTGTGATTGAAGGAGAAAAGTTTGTGTGGAAAAGAGGAATATAAATTTGATGTTTTGTTTTTGGTAATAACAATGAAGAATGGAGAGAGTTTGGTAATGGAAAGATATGCATGAAGACAAAGAGGAATCAAAAACTGAAGGCACAAAAAAGATGCTTTCCATTTTTAACTCAATTTTGGCGCAAGTTTTAAAATTGGTTGCAGATAAGACGAACATGAGGGTCAATGCTGTAGTCATTGGCTTTATGTATACACATCTTAATGTCTAATCTACCAGTTTTATATTAAATATTAGATTTTAGTTGTTTGCGGGTTTCACTAAAATAATTAATTACATGGATTAAAATTAAAATGGTAAGATTAATATTTTTTATTATGTCATTTTAGGAAGAAAAAATAATTAAATTTAAGTTGTTTCGGTCAGCCTCAGACCCAATAACAGAAAGACTCAATCAAAAATCCAAAGTCATAAGGTGTTATAGGAACATTGTTCACGCCACCTCTAGGCATGTATTCAATCCACGCAACCAATTGTCTTTCGTTGTTAGATGTCATTCAATGGTTTCCCGCATACCACTATGAAAAACAAGAGAATATTTAACTGCTCCTCATATATAAATGATCACACGCAAGATATGAGGTACGTTAAAACTATAATTTAATCTTACACTTCTTCAGTCAATGACTGACTCGAGTGTTGAAGTGCTAACCTTGCAGGTCATCACTTCTCCGTCGCACTGGAAGTTTACTCCACCACATCAAGACTTCATAGTTCATACACATTTCCCTTCAGCAAACTCCGAATAATGTGTATGGGACCTTTGATCAGACAATTGGTCAAGTGGAAAAACTTTGCTCTGACGTCTTTGTTCTCAACTCGCAACTTGACACGTTCAAGGTTGTTCGGGATGGGGGCTTAGTGGATAACCTAGGTGCAACGTCTTAAGATGGAGAGGCGCGACTTCCTTTTTATTTATATTACTTTGTATGTAGTGTCAAAAGGGTGTTGTGTCTTAGCATGATTAATAATATTTAGATATTTATCTTGTCATTCGATGTTTTTTCTGTGTATGATGTGATTTCTTTTATTTCTCCATGGTCTTTTTCCTCTATTATTTGGTCATCAACAACTTGGCTTCTAGGCTTCGAACCATTTTGTGGTTTTTGCTCGGGTGGTGCTTGAGCTTGGTTGTCTCTGTAATTGGGAGTTTGTCCCATTGATGCTACCATCTCTAGGTCTTTGAATCCATTTGTCGCCTGTCTTACTAAAGATATTCGACATGTTCACATAACTATGTAGTCTCGAGTAGTGCGAATTGGATCGGTAACTTAGTTTGATCGTCACTACTTTCGGTCGAGAAGAGTTGATGTTATTCTTCAGCGTCACTAGAAATTGTTCCCATTCAAAGGTGAGGTTTGTGTTTGTGCCCTCAGGTTTTGTCTTGGTTCATAACGGACATCTCCAAAGCTCCACCTTCTACGCTCTTTGAGTGGCTAGCTCAATTGCATTTTAAGTGTGTTTCCTGAAATATAGGACCTGCTTCAGACACCCATTATATCATATCCTACTAAGGGTTACAATAATGTCTGTATGCTCAACATTTCTCATAGTTAGAAAGTTTATTTATTCATATTTAAAAGGGCATGGAGGAATACTTATCTTGTTGATAGAACCACAGATAAGGCATGTGCATACCCTTTTCAATCTCCTCCCTGATCGATTATGTAACCGAGGAGTATTGATATGGATCCTTCAGATGATCTTAAAGGAAAGAAGTCTGCGTCCGACCGTTTAGCGGCCAAGCTTGACCATGAATGGCATCTGCTCTCTATCTTTTATGAATGTAGATGTTTACTGCGCTATATTGAGTTAAGTATAATCTACACACGCATCCCCCGCTTCCCGCATGCTTTCTTAGCAAATACAACATTGGAGAATCTCTTCGTGTTTTTCACTTCATAAATAACATTGGCATCTAGAGGTCCTTCGACTGTGTCTGCGGTAGCTTCAGCCTTTTTCTGAGGTTGCCTCTTCTTCGCTGCAAGTTGCGTCGGGCGTTGGGATTGACGCCTCAACGGGTGGCATGCTATAGCCTTTTCCAGAGGTCAGTATTAGCCCAGAAACAGATTTTCGGTGTGGTTTTTACCTCAAAAGGTAGGCCAGATCATATACTAACGGATCTGGTTGGACTATCAATAAACTAACCAACTTTAATATTTTTATCCAGAATTGGTTCACTTTTATCCATGCCTTTTCGTTCTTGCCATTCAGGGTTTTTTTTTTTTGGAAACCGCTAAGAATGACTAATAAAACCATATATCAAATTAAATAATCAATAATTAAAAAAAGGCTCAGACCAACTAAAAATAGAATGATAAGTTGTTTTACAAGAGCTTTAACCAGACAACACAAATGTCAACTTCAATGATATAGCATTGTAACAGTACAACCGATGAATCTAGAACATCTATTGAAGTACTTATTTGAAGAACTGTGAACCTAAATCTAAAATTTAAACTCTAATCTAAAATTAACATCCACTATAGCATAAATAAAACCATTGGTAATCAATCCCCCTATAAAGGATCTGGGTCCATTTTATATATCTAACCTTCAAAACAGTGGTTAGAATAATTAATTACATTGTTTATATAACTTTTGAAAGGAGAATGCATTATAAACAAACAGCAAAACATTATGAACTAAAAATAGAAGGATTTCATTACTAACAAATAAAATCCATTTACGAGTGACATTGGAATTAAATTTGCTTGTTATACATCTCTCTCTAAGATTAAGAGATATCAATACAACTGACGAATCTAAAACATTTATTGAAGTACTTGAGATAATAGAAGAGGTATAGAGATTGAAAGTTTAAGTGCAATGAATATATAATAATGAGGGAGGTATAGAGATAGGAAAGGAGAAAAATAGTTCAGGAGCAACGGAGAAAAAACAGTTCAACAACAAAGATGCTAAGACCTATTGAAGAGAAAAGACCCCAACAAAACCATAACAGAAGATATGAAAGATCTAAAGTTCAGACTATGGACTTTGATTTTATTATTTGTGTTCTGAACAATAATATCCGTATAGCAGACAGAGGAACTGTTTGAACCCTGGCGAAAGTCCGACGCCTAATTCTGATCGGTATGCAACATTAGTCGTCAGATCTGATCAGACAGTTCTTCGCCTCTCTCGCCAACTTAGACATAAGGGATTAACCATCTATCATATAAGTCAAAGTACACATCATTTTTGTTTTGATCTAACTATAACTCAAACTACACGAACCATTAAGTTCAAAACAACAACCAGAGATAAGCTGACAATAACTAGAATGTGAAAAGGATGTCAGTCCATGTTATTCATGTAAGTCTATGCTTCGAAATAAATAAACGGTAATTAATTATATTAGGTTGTTTATATAACTTAATATAAAGACAACAATAACTACAATGAGGAAGGGGGTGTCGGTCCATGTTATACACGTAAGTCTAAGCTTCAAAATAAAGAAACGGTAACTAAATAGATTAGGTTGTTTATATAACTTTTGAAAGGAGAGTGCATCATAAACAAAAGGTAAAAAAAATTGTGTGGAAGAAAAATAAAAGGATTTCATAAAGTCATGAAAGAGAAAGGCATTAGGAATTACATTGGTTGTTGTTATACAATAAAGAGAAAGATAGATGCAGCTAAACTAAGGTCTAAGATATATCAACACAGAAGAGAACGAAACTCATTAATCTAAGCTTTCTTGGGGGTTTTCTTGGCCTTGGATGGAGATTTAGGTTCCTTTGCAGAAGCATTTTCGGTCCTCTTGGGCAAAAGAACAGGGTTGATGTTAGGAAGGACACCACCATGAGCAATGGTAACACCGGCAAGTAATTTACCAAGTTCTTCATCATTCCTCACAGCCAACAACAAATGCCTTGGACTAACTCTATTCTTCTTGTTGTCACGTGCAGCATTACCAGCCAACTCAAGAACCTGAACAAACACCAAATTTAAAAAATAAGACAACAAATTCCAAATCACTAATTCATAGGAATTAAAGAGGGGAACAGAAAGTAACCTCAGCAGCAAGATATTCGAGAACAGCGGCCAAGTAAACAGGAGCACCAGTACCAACACGCTGAGCATATCTTCCTTTCTTCAGAAACCGACCGATTCTTCCGACGGGAAACTGAAGTCCGGCTCTAACAGATCTGGTGACGGACTTCTTCCTTGGTCCTCCTCCCTTCCTTCCTCCAGCTCCTTTCTTAACCTTAGTGCTTGCGTCCATTTTCGAATTTGAGAGTATTGAGAGAGTTAGAGATAATGAATGAGATATAGTTGCCATAGGCGTTGCAGGGTTTTATACTTGGCGGTCATTTTGAAGATCTTGCTTTGAAAACAAATCCACCGTTGGATTATAAATTATCTATGGCTCACTATCATTTACCTGCCTATCCGTGTCTTTTAAAACTCACCAATGGGAAGCCAGTTATCCGTGTCTTTTAAAACTCACCAATGGGAAGCCAGTTAGGTGCTCCCTACTTTTTTTTTAATTTCACCAATGGTAAACTAGTAAAAACTCTTTCTAAACAACATTCAAACTCGTGCCATTTAAATTGCCATTAATATTTATTTTTAGATTTTAGATTTATTTATGAATTGTACTATAAATATTTTTTTATTTATACATAAAATATATTATTTTTTAGTAACAAATTCTACTTCTTATCGTACAAATTATATATACATGACAACTCTAATATCTTTGCAAATGACTTACGAAGAGTCGCATGAAATGTTATATTTTGTTATGGAAATAAAATTGGTGTTGATTTGTGATGTTAGTTTCTAAAATTGGCCGTATTAATCTTTGATATTGTGATATTAAGTTGATTTATAAGGTTAGCACTCCAAACTCAAGTCAATACAAAGTTCAATAAGAGTATAGTGAAAAAGTAAAGATCAGAACTTTGAATCTCACGTGTGATAACTATATATGTTTGATAATCTTGATTGGGTATGTGTCACTACTACAAAAAAAAAAAACTTAATATTGGATCTTTGACCGGCCCATAACAGTTACTCCAGGTTTCTTATGCATTTACTAGACAATAAATATTTTAAAGTTATGGTCGGACTTTTATTATCTTTTCTTATCGGAGTGACAAGTTATGATCCTCCTGAAGTGTTGCATAAAACAAACAACATTTGATTAGACTTAATGACATATTTTCTCCCTCTTTTTAGTCAAAAATTAACAAAAATATAGTGAAAAGAAACAAACACACTAAAAACCAATAGAAACAAAAATTGATTCAAGACAAATAAAAAAAAAACTCAAAATTAACTCAAAACAAATAGACCTTATATTTGATACAAGATTAATTACACCAAACTTACTCATAAAAAAGCAAGAAAAAAAAATCACCCAAAAAAAATTATGCTAAGGTTAAAAAGAAAAGAAATGACTCACCAAACAAAATTTTAGCTTCATGTCATTTTGTTTCCTTTGTAGAAAAAGATTTAAATTACCATCTCATTTAAATTGTCATTAATATTTATCTTTTAAAAACAAAATATATTTTCACATTTTATATATATATATATATATATATATATATATATATATATATATATATATATATATATATATATATATATATATATATATATATATATATATATATATATATATATATATATATATATATATATATATATATATATATATATATATATATATATATATATATATATATATATATATATATATTAAGATGTAAGGGAGATATCAACCTTGACAAAAATAAAATTAACAATCATATTAAGTCGTTCAAATATGATGATAGCATCATGTTACTTAAAATTAATTATCAAACAAATCAAACTAATAAAACAGCATTATACTTTAGTACATAAGTTAGACCTTATCCAAATTACTCACCTTTGTATTTGTCCAACCTTAATTGATGTCCAATTTTCATCCACTCCACATATGAATAACATTTCCAATTAATTCTCATACTAACCAATTCAATATTGATCCACATTATAATTACTATTATAACTCAAACAAATATACATCCTTTAACTGTTTAAATAAAACATTGACATTGGCTTAAGACATAACAAGTACTCGCTAGTATAAAAAAAATCTTTCCTAATAAATTATTATAACCACCTTTAATTTAATTGTGGTAATATCTCGTTTATACGTGTGTGTATTTTTTAATAACTTATTAAAATATATTTAATTATGGTCTATAACCCAATCATTATAATATATTGAAGTTTACTTGCTTTGTTTCCCACACCAACAATTTTTTTCTTTTCATTATAAAAAAAGATTGTCAGTATAATTTTATAAATATATTAAAACAAAATTATTTATCACCATTGTTAATTATTGAAATTGTTATATATATATATAAAAGCGGAGTTATTAAGCTTCAGTACAGAATAGTTCTCACTCTCAACAAAACTTTAATATCTCTCTCTTCCACATATAGTGAACTCATATTCATAAACTTATCCAAACTTAAAGATAATCAAGTTCAAATACAGTGAACACAATACTTTATCTTTATTCTTCATCATCATAAGTCTTCTTCCATTTTTCTCAAATAAAACCCTAACATTTCTCTCATCCATGCAGCGAACGCATCTCATAAGCTTCTTCAACTTATGGGTAATCAACTTCTCCCATTTCTATAGTTCTTGTTAAAAAAGAGTTTTTTTCATCTGACATGATATTCGTTTTTTGATAGAATATGTATGTATTTGTTAATATCTCTCAATATCTTACTGTTTTTTCATTTGGTAAATGTTTCATGTATGATGTTAATGTCATGGTGTTTATGTTTTTTGACTTGCATAAAAAGTGAATGAAGAAAGCCACATTAATAAAGCGCATATTTTGGCTATGGTTTACATATATTTTGTGTTGTTATGATAAACAATACAAGAAGTATGAAGCTATTGTGGGAGTTTATCTGTCTTATATTTTTTTCTTCATAGCAACAAAAAGTAGATTATCTTCAGTTTATTCCACAAATCTTTTCAATAAAAAGTATATTATTTTATATTGTATTATTTTGTTATATGTTGTTGTACCCAAAAATTTGCTCTCTTTATTTTTAACTCTAATTGGCTTTTACTTTGTTAGCATATGCATGTATACATGTCATTGGATCAATACTCATGGGATCAAGATATTTTATCAGCATGTCAAAGCTCTCATGTATTTTAACACATTCTGAATTATGGAAGAATTGGGTGTGTCGGTGAATTTGAGGCAGTGAGGAATTAGAAACAGCGACTTTGCTGGTTTGAGCTTAGAAATTCGCAACTTGTCATCCAATTCTTGTATCTTCTGATTGGAATATTGTTTTGGGGCAATTCTTGAGTCGTTAAAATCGTCTTAATGTCTTCTCCAATTCTCGTATTCGTACCGAAGACTAATTCTTTAAGGAAGGCTTCCGAATACGCGATTCTCTTGGAAGTGATACAGTGAAAAAACAACGAAAATACTGTGTTGAACCGTAGTTGTGCGGACGTTCGGAAATTCATAATTTCTGACTGGAATACTGTTTTGGAGCGGTTCTTTTTGAGAAAAATTTGTCTTGATGTCTTTTTTGTTTCGTGTTTTCGGATCGAAATCTGATTCCTTGAGGAAAGTCCTCGGAATTATGGATTACCGGAGAAATAATTATGTTGAACCGGAGTTTTTATTCATTGTTTCTCGATATTGTAAAAATTGTAACTCCTTCGATTTTTATCGTATTGAGACGGTTCTTTCGGCATAATTTCATAAATTTTGTCTACTACAATTTCTTTTCAGATTCCAAATTCAAACGGTAATCTGAAGGCTTCCATTTTTGGTTCGTTTCCCATATTACACACTGAAAATCCTGAACAGTGTTAGTAAAACATCGAAAATTCATAATTTTCTCATCATTTATCCGATTGAGCCCATATTCTGACACAAGATCATTCTCGACATTGGTTACATTTTGGTTTTACATTTTAACTTCAGAAATCACACTGAGGCCCCTACTAATTTGACCTGAACGTGTTGAGCTCTGATGGTTCAAAATTTTGCACTTTGGTTTGTGGTTATTTGAGGCCCATTAACCAAATCTACTCGAAAGAGGCCCATACTATATATGCTTAGTCACTCTAATTTTTGAGGAGGCTCTGATAATTCAAAAATATTCTTACAAACACTCTAAATTTGTCTCTCAATTCTCTCAAAGATCAAATCAAGGTTCTACACTTTTTTCATCAAGAACATGACAACAATTTCATCAAGATCCAAGATCAAATCAAGAGTAATTCTTCTCCATTTATCAATTATTTCATTGCGATCTCTATACCTAAGCCTCCTTTTCACTTCTATCGGTGAGTTTTCTTGAATTAAGCACTTCTTAAAATAAGTGATTATTTGAGGAGTACCTTTTTGATCAAGCACGAATTGAATCTAGGTTAAATATTGAATTGAGAATATAAATCTAAGCCTAGAATTGTAAATTGATTTGATAATTATTTGTAAATCCGGAATTCGATAATTGAATTAAGTGTTTATTAAATTAAGTTGATTTATATGAAAGTGCTTAATTAATGAAAGAAATTGATTGATTTGCGTGAAGCTTAATTGTTGATCCTTAATCCATCATGTGTAGTTTGAATTTATACTTTGAATTATGCAAAATCATGTGTTTGATGTGTGAAGATTTTGTGTTTGATCAAATTCCTAAGCCATGAGCCAAATCTCAAATAATTATTAAAAACTGCTTTCTGCCTGAAGGTAACGGGTTACCCAGTTATGGTAACCGATTACCCCAAAGTCAGTAGAGTTTTCTCATATTTTTGGCTTATGGTAACCGGTTACCCCAAAGTCATTAGTGTTTTCCCTCTGTTTTGGCTTAAGGTAACCGGTTACCCAGTTATGCTTTGTTTTGTTTTATTGCATGCTTGCACATATTTCCTTGTTAATTCTAACTCCTTTTGTGAATAATTTGCAAGGTAAATTTTTAGGATTTCAACCTTTAATTACCACTTGATTATTGGTTGAAAGTCACTTTATGCGATCACTTGTTAGTGAAAGTTTGTGTATGATACGCAAATGATATCATTTTTGCATAAATCTTGTTTTTGTGCAGGTACCTCAATATCACACGGATGTGTCCATTACATATTCCAGTGTGTGATATTTATTTTGTATATTGTATGGAATGTATTTTGTGCAGGTACCCCGGCATCATATGGATATATCCGCTACACATTCCA